CTGAATCTCCTCACCCTCTGTGAAGAGGACAGGTTTTTAAATACCTCTGGATTTCAAAATATTCTTTTGCAATATATTTTTAAATTTTTGGGGGAACATACTGCTTCCTGTGTTCTTTTTTGCTCTGAGAATTTTGCCTAGAAAATTATGTTGATTTCAGGAAAATTAGTATGGGTTTGGGGGGAGGACAGAACTGCAGGAAAGGCTTTGGAGGACTGTGGGCATCAGGATGCCCTGTGTTCCATTAGCATCCTGACTACACAGCATTAGGCCCTTTTCTCTTCCATGCACCCAATCCTGTCCTCCCTGCCAAGAGCAGCTTCCCAATGCTATAAGCCGGCTCCAGCTTAAAACACCTTCGGAATTTTAGCGAAAAGCTTTGTGTGGTGCAGACTGGCGGAGAAAGTGCCAGCTATCAGCCAAGTCTTTCATTCGAGATTGATCTTGCATTTTACTGCACTTGGTACATCTTCACACTTGGGCAATTTCCACTGGGTGCCCAGCTTGCAGGTTGTGCTGCTGTGCTGCCAGATACCAGGCTTGGATACTTTATTTTTGGTTGAGATGCTGGGATGCATCATTTGCTTAAGAATGAACGACGATTATTGTCTTCCTACGTACAGCTGGTTGGGTTCTTTTCGTTAACAAAAAGAACATGGAAGCTAAATGCCATGAATTACATCTCAGTGGCGCAGACTGTCAGTCCCTTTATTCAGTTAGGCTCCCTCAACCATACTGAACCTTTTGTCCAAACTGCAGTTCAAATTGGCTTGGTCCCCATTTCTTCAGCAGTGCAAGAGCACTCTTTAACTTTCATGTTCAAAAAGGTGAACAGCATTGGGACTGCTGCAGCACGACAGAGTGCTGCATTGGCATCGCCCCGTAAGGGAAGAGGAGCAGGGAGAAAAATGTGTTAGACAACAGAGTTCATAGACAAAAAGATGCTGGATATAACAGATTACTTTGTCTGAAACAGATTGAATGCCATGTCCTTAAACTATGGAATCATATTTCATAGCTCAAAGAGATCATTTTATATTTATTTCTAAATATGAAGATGAGAAACCTCTATTAAGGGAGAATGCCAGAGATGGTCCACCTCAAAAATATTTTTGAGGGTAATAAAGAAAATGCTGGCGTTCTTTAGGCTGGACAAACTACGTTCAGCCTATTGCGTGTTAATGAAATCAGGCTAGGTTTTAAAATATTTACTCAACAGTCATTAAACCATGCATTAATATCCTATACTGAAGTTTTTTCCAGGTAACAATTAATCTCAACAGTTTGCTAGCTATTTGGTTCTTGTTCTGCTCTCCTTTTCTTCATACAATCAGTCATAATATAAATCTTATGTGCTACTTCCATTTTTCTTATTATTTCCATCTTTCCCCATACCATGTTTTCATTCTCCTCCTCTGTGTTATCTTTCTTTTAGTGTTTTGATCCTATGCTGCCACGCATCCATTTTTGCGTCATTAAGTACATGCAGATTCAAAAGTACATGCAATGCATTGAATAACCAAAATATGCAACCTACTAGTACAGGTGACCTTAAAAAAAAATAAGATAACATTTAATCACCATTCAAGAATAGCTGTATTCCTCCTAGGGGGTTCAATGCATGTTGGAAAAGCAAATTTATAGTGATGACCTCCTGTGTAGAGCCAGCTTCTTCTGGCTCTTTCTAGGAGACCACCTCTGGCTTGTCATGTTGGAAACTCAAGGTGATCCTCTCGTGCTAGAGGGCTGCTCCTGCTTCTCTCAGGCAGCATTTATTGTTCCTCTCCCAGTGTCACAACTCTGCAGAGGGGAGGATCTCGCTGAGCACAGCAGTAACTTTATAGCTGGTTGTTTCAGTCTGGTGACAGAAAGTGCCTGGTGGTTTTTCTGTTGTTGTAAGAAAATTCTTCAGGTGTCTTTTTTTTCTTTTTCCCTTGTCAGAAAAGTTTGCAGTTAGTCTTTAGCTGATTGCAAAAGGTAACAATTATTTTGTTCCACATTAGAACTTTGTGTAAAAAAAAAAAACCAAAACACTTCTAGTTTTCTGATCATCTTGACATCTTTTTAGATTACTGCTTATGTGCCAGCATATAATAGTTTACGTAAAGAAACTGGTAATAATCTTGGCTTTCTTCAGATATCTCAATCTCTGCTAGCAGTTTTGGAAGATGTATGAGTTGTTTTGGGGATTATTGGTTTCTTTAACTTCCTTTATACATAGACAGATTAGAAGTCTAAAATCACTGACATGTAAGGAGGGAACATTTTCTCTGTATCTGTCCCTTAACTCTTCCTTTACCTGTTGCTTTCCCCACCTCTTTTGTGGCTTAGGTTTCAAAGGGCTGGGAAGATAAAAAAAGCTTCAAATACAAGATTAAAATCTCAGGAGAGAGCATCAGGAGTGACATAACATTTAGCACCTGGAGCATCACTTTACAATCCTCTGAAATCAGTTTGCATGGTCGCCAGTGTTTCCTCTGTGTACGCATGGGCTATACTGACAGACTAACTGAACTTTCATCCATTTCGGATAATTTTTTGTTACAGGCTTTATCTGTCAAGAAGCATATTTTGACAGCAGGTATTTCCTGAAGGTGCAAATCTGTGCATCCATTGCAGTAGGATGTGTATGCAAAAATGTCTCTTTTCTGATTTATTGTAGTATCGAAGGGTGGAAAATTTCACAAGACAATTGCATTAATACTGTTAAGCATTTGCTTGCCTTTGCACAAAACCTGTGACTTTTGTTGCCTAAATAGTCATCTGATATCCTCCCTGACTCTCCCTATTTTGAAACTTCCTCATTTTGAAAATTAAATGGCTTCTTGTGTTTGACCTTTTGTTCCAGCTATGTCAAGGCTATAACTGCACCCCAGTGAACTCTGGGAAATGCATAGCTGCTGGTCCTATAGCTTCATCTCTTGTGTAGGAAAACCAAAATTCATCTCATCCCAGCTACTGGAAACAATACAGAAAGAAAACACGTGATAACACACAGAAACCAATCCCACTTAAAAATTCCTGTTTCCAGTTGTAATAAAATATGCCAGTGTTTAAAGTCCGTGGCATTGTGCAAGTCATTGTGTTTTCTAGATTAATGCATTAAAAACAGCTCATGTGATTAGCCCAAAGAGAACATGGACATTAGTTAGCTTGTTTGTCCCACATATGTAGCTGCTAGAGATCTTGTTTCAGTTTTTACTGGAGCCAGAATGCATTATAAGGACATACTAATAAAGTAATCTAATTAGTGCAGCCAAGTAAATCTTGGAAACTGAGGGGTGGTGGTGGTGGTGGAAGTGATGGGAAGATCCCTACAGATTTTTGTTTCTGTTCTGTCTCCTGAACACTTGTGCTTTGGGAGCCTTTTTATGGCCTCTCAGAATAGCATGGGTACCTTTCCTTTTTCCCAGTGGGACATAGGGTGCTCTTAAGAGCTTACTGATCTGCTCAGATAGCTCGGGGACCAAATCTGCTCTGCTGTCAACTGGCTTGAAGTACAAGTGTGGCTAGTAGGCATTTGCTTGTCTTTCACGAGGTAAAACATGCAATTATAATTGTGGCACATATATGCTTACATTTATGTATGTATATGCATACTTTATGTAATTGATGGGAAAACACCCTTGCATTTACTTTGAGCAGGCCTAAATATAGTTCTCAGACTTTCATTTGTAACTAGCATTGCTTACAGGAATGAAGGTAAGTAATTTTTAGTTATGTTCCTGAAATGCGCCTCTCATAATATTTAGCACCAGTTCAGCAGCACTTTTCCACACTAAATAAAAAGTCATGCAATATAGCTCATTCCTCTGGCTGCGTAATTTGCTTAAAGTTCAGCGTGCTTTCTCTGCCCCAGCTAGCTAAGCATAATTATGAATGACGCTATAAAATGAGAATATGAATTCAATGAAGGAATAAACTGGTCCACACTGAGAATTAAGGTTTCTGAACTTGTCTAAAGAACATGCTTTTTGAAGTGCTCATTGTTGACTCACACTGAGTAAAAGTGGGTTTGTATATTTATCATAAACTTGTGCTTGCCAACGCAAGTTGTCTGAAGGGCTGTCAGACAGCACGGGGAAGTTGCTGTTTGTCCCCTACCTCTTGTATTCTCCTCTGCACCCTTTCCAAAGTCCCAAGACTTTCCCTTCCTTTATCATCAAATTGTCATGAATTGAATTAGCTGACTAGTCCTAAAGGTTTAATTCAAAACTAAGGCTGCTAGAATAATGAAGTGTTTTAACAAAGAAGCCAAATAGTAATGTTTCACTGTCTTTACAGTATGGAGAAGAGTGCAGGAGTAAAACATACCCTCCTTCGGGACCGACGTAAGTAATCTGATTCAACTTGTCTAACAAACTACAGAAAAGTAGTGATTTGCAAGTCTGAACATTTGGGGGTTTGGTAACTTGTTCCTGTTGCAGATCTAGAAAATGCTGGTTACAGGTGGGAAGCACTTACTTTGTCAAATGTTTTTTCAAAGCCGACTTTAAATTTGAACTCTGGTACTTGTCTTTCAGGTTCAAAGGGAACATACCCACATATGTCATAAATCTTGATTTACCTCCCAGCAAAAGATGGGATAACTTGATGAACGACAAAAAGACAGAGGTATGAAATGCAGAGCTTGCTTTGAAGCTTAGCAGGTATAAAACTAGCACGTGGCCTTTTAATTGGAAAAAAGGTTTGGAAAGGAATACCTGTGCTAAGATTCTCTGACGGGGATAATATTTTTAGTTGACTTTTCTAATATGAGTCTACACTAAAATAATTGCTTGAGTAAAACTTTTTTCTGTTCAACACTCGGTGTAGCAGCATCAAGTATGGGGGCACTGATGTTTGGGGTGTGGAGGAATAAAAACTGGTGTGGCATAAAGAAGGTTTTCATTTATCAAAGGTCTTTAGTCATGAAGTAATACAGAATGAAGGGGGAGGAGTACACCACAGGGACAGCCTCAGTAAACTGAAGTGAAACTGAGGCAGCATCCCTTCTCCTCTGCACATCCCCACTTCTCTCAAAACGCTTCATGAGATGATGAAATGGCAAGGGGAAGATGAAGAACTTCCTGCCCTTTTCAGGAGTGCTGGTTGCAGCACTGGTGTTTACACAGCAGAAATATTTTTTTAAAATGCTCGAGCATATTTCAGACTACTTAGCTGTTCTTCTGAAGGTTGCTTGAAAATTCAATTCAGTAATGCTTAATTTCTCAGAAAAGGCCAGGGATTTTTGCTATAAGCCTGCTGACTTTGACCTTTCAACTCTGAAAGCCAAACAAATTCTACTTGCATCTTCATATTTATTTTAAAAGTCTCATTTAAGCCAGTGGGTGTTGGAAGCTTCAGGTTGCACCTTAACTTCTGAAAGGTTTTATCTGTCATGTACTTTGGAGTTAGATCACATAGAGTGGAACTCTATTTGTGGCCATTCATGTGTCGCAAATGGAAAGCATGTGCTTTTATAAGAATTTTTTTGAGTCTTTCTGGCTTCAGGAACATCGGTGCTTAAGCAAAGAGCTTTTAATTAACGTTTTTGAAGATAGAAACGTGCAGAGTATTAAAATGTGATCAAAGGAGCAGAAGAGGCTAGCTTTTTCCTGTAATTCATTTCCTCTGGTAGAGGAACGTGTCAGAGCTAATCTAGAAAGTTATTTCAATAAAGCTTGAAGAGTGACTCTTTAATGGGGAGTTGGGGGTGGTTTTCTCACCAAGAACACCACATCTAGCACTTTCTTTAAATATGTTTTTTTTTCAACAAAATGTTTTTTTTAAAAGTATGTGAAGGAGGTCTGTTAGTATTCTAGCAATTCTTATGCTCAAGATCTTCTATTTGATAAAAGCCCTTGTTCTTTTTAGCTGAAGACTGTGGTCCAGAATATTAAGGATATAGCAAATACCTTCTTCCCCAGCGGCAAAGTTGTTGACATAGTGGATAACAAAATAGTAAGTATTTTCAGCTTAATCATTTTATTACTGTATGCTCTGACTACCAGAATGAGAATGCTACTAGATTTGGCAATTAAGAACTTTACAAGTGATAGTTCTCCCAATGCCAGAACAAAAATGCTGTTTTGAAGAGTTACTCTGAAATTTTGCCTTCTTGGTGAAATTTTGCCTTCTTGCCTACTCTGAATTACTCTGAAACCATCTAACCTAAAATGCCTGTGTCTCTTTGTCCTCTCATTTTTTCTAAGATCTCTTCAAGTTTGGATTAGGCATGCTAGACATGTGTGCTACTGACTTAGTCACCGTAGCAAAACACTTCACTGAAATTCTCTTTGCCATGTTCAAGTCCTTTTGAACAGTAGAGTAAAATCAGGTTTTGAAAACTGTAGTAAGTGTCTGATTACAGGGGCAACTTTGACCAGGCCTCATCTTAAAAAATAATTTGGTTCTGATTAAAATGAGCTTTGGCATAGAATCAGGACAGGGGAAAACAGTGTAGCGCTAGAGACAGCATAAGGTCAAATCTGTCCCCCATCTTTATTTACAGCAGCCTTAGGTCATGCTGTTCATGCTTTATTTGTATCCCTGTGTGCCTGAGTGGGATTGACATAAAGGTGGCATATACAGGTAGTTATACCAGTGTGTGAAATTAGGGATTCCCTTAAACACTGACGACATCAAGCTCAGTTCCAGTTGAGCTCTTAACATAGAAGAGTCCTACTTTACTCTGTTCTGTCTATTGCTGCTGACGATAATTAAGATACTGTGCTAATCTCCATTGCTCATATGTCAATATTTTGATAAGAAATAGTTTTTGCTTTCCCTGAGTATGTAATTGTCTTCAAAGTACTCTGCAGACATCCTCAAGTTCTACAGGCTGCAGAGGTATTAAATACTCAGTTTAATAGTTGTGAGAAGGATGTACCTATTGGGAGAGGTTCGTTTTAAGTAACAAAGTAGTGTTAATTTATGCAAACAACCATGCAAACCTTTTCCTTTCAGGCTCATCTGACCACCACGCTTCCTTATCCTTTCAATGAAGAACTCCAGGGGATTGCAAATTCATCTGGGATTCCTTTGGGTAATAGTTTCCAACACTTTATTAACACAGTGGAAAACTAGGAATTCAGACTTGTTTAAAATTAGTACTTGTACCAATTTTCAGTATAGTTGTAGTCATCTATGACATTAACAAATAAATTATTAATTAAGTAGATAAAGCAAGAAATTGCATCTCACACTAAATGAAAACAGTATTTCAAAGGAGAATGGCAATAAATCACATAAGCCTTTCATCAGGCTGGGACTTCTCTGTAGAGCTGTAGCTTCTCGCTCCTGAGTGTTGGGGCATGGAATGAGTCTCGGCTCCTGTGCACCAAATTCTGGGGGAATCCTTGATTCTCACTGGTTTCCCATTCAGCTGCGTGTCTGCTGTTGACATACCGAGAAGGCAAGGCTCAGTTTCATGCTCTGCTTGCTTTCCCTCGTGATCCTTGCCACATCCTCCCCGCTTCCTTCTGCACCTCCTACAAAAGAATGCAACTCCAGGTGAGAAGTAGGCACTGAATTCTTCCAGAATTGAGACAGAGCAGGTCCATAGACGTGCTTCCACTGCTTCCCTCATAAAGGAGCAGTACTCCTGGTGCTAGTCAGCAGTTCTTTTATGGGAATAGTGGTACATATTGCAGCTTTCTTCTTTAAAGTGAATTTTATAGCTTGGTTTGAAGTTTCCAGAGGAGGAGGTAGCGATGACTGTCAGCTTTCTGTATGGTAAGGCAGAAGGCCAAGGGATTCTGATCCTTTCCTTTCAGGAAGCTCTTGATTTTGCTGAACTGATCATTTCAAAGATCAGATGAGAAATATTACAGAATGCTGAACTTTGCAGTATGCTTTTTGTCTAACCATTTTTTTCTGTTCATGGCAAAAGTTTCAAACTATTGAACTTTGTTTCTTTCTGTTCTAGGGGAAATTGTTATTTTTAACATCTTCTATGAAATTTTTACTGTATGTACATCAATAGTGGCGGAAGATAAAACAGGTAATGCAACCCAGAATAGTGTTAACTGTTTTCTTTTATATTGGAGAGGGTCCACCTCAACTACACAAATATAGTCCTGCTCACCTGCAGGCAAGAAGGTCTAGTAAAAGAGACTAAAAGCAATGATAATAAAAAGGTATTCCTTAAGAAGGAAATAAGAGATCACCTTTTTTAACCTAAGATGTCTTAGGTTAAAAAAAAAAAATAGGAAAAATGATTTGAGTTTGTTTTGGTTTTTTTAATAGATGGCATTTATTTTTCTAGGGGAAAGAAACACCAGCCAGACACCTGATGCTTTCTCAGTGCCATGAGGGATTCTAGTACAATCATCTGTTTTGCATCTAGTTTCTAGCTATCACATATGTATGGTGCTAGGGCAAATGGATTGTCTGTTTTTTGGAAAAGAGACTCTTTCATCCTCTTACTCAGTTCTGCAGCCCTTGTCTGCCTTGTCTGTTCCAGCTTAGGAAATTTCTGATGGCTTGCAAACACCTCACATTTAGAGGAAGCTCAAGGGATTACCATTACATTAAGATAATGTGGAAAGCATCTGAGCCTGAGAGGGATAGCAGTTTACCAGATTACTTGATTTCAATTATGGCAAAACACTTCTCTGATCCAAAAAACCGCCACCATTTTTCTGTGCTTATGAAAATGACAATGGTATTTTCCCTGCTTGCTTTACCATGTATTTTTCCTGCTTACTCATTTTGTGGGTTTCTAAGCTGAAGTTTACATCTCTTTCTTTAGAAAATTTTATTTATTTATTTATTTATTTATTATTATGTAGGGAAGCTGTACCATGCCAGAAACTTGGATTTTGGACTCTTTCTCGGGTAAATACCTAAAATTGTGCCTTTTTTTTTTTTTTTTTTTTTTTTTTTTTAAACTAAATTAATACCTAGCTGGCTGAACTTGAAAATTCTACACGCATTCTTTCAGTCTAAATGATGACTTGGATGTTGTTAAGACTATGACAAGTAATTCTGCATTGTGTGTTGTGAAAAAAGGCTTAAACGAATGAATGGATTGTTCTGCTGATCTTATGTCAGACTACTCTGAGCTTGTCGGGAATGACTTTGTAAAACGGTTGTGTTCGTTCTTTACGTGATGGGACAGAAGCATCAGTTTTAGTGTAGGCAGTGAAATGTGGATTGGATCTGGGCTTGGTTTTGTGGTTGTTCTTTTTCCAAATTATCCCCCTAGTTACTCTGCTGTGCTCTCCTGACACTTCCCATCACTCATCATTTCTACTTAAAGCCAGTGATTTGTATTCCACTGATCTAACATTATCATTCATTTGGATATAAACTCTGTAGTCTGTTGCCCAGCACTGGATTCTCTTTTTAGTTCTCATTTCATACCTTGTGATCAGGCAGTCCAGCGTTTGCTTTGATTGTCCCAGTATATTTTGTAACAGCAGTCATCCAGATGACCCTCAATGCTCAGATGGAATTAAATGCCCATTTTCATTAAAATTCTTACCTGCCTATCAGAAACTCGAATGTTGTCAACTGTGACTCCACCTGTCCCTTGGTTTGGCTTGTGTTGAACTTCTCCCACTTGTCAGAAATACTGGGAACGTGCTCCCTGAAAATTAAGGCAACTTTCAAAGCTGTTCCCAGAACCTGGATTGCTTCCAGAGAATTTTACTGTCTGCTGAGTGTTCTTTAGCACCCTCTCACCTACAAACTGTTCTGGCTTATCTTACAAACTAGAATCGGGAATTCCCTTCGCGTAGAGCAAGTCCAATAGCGTGTGGTTTGTTTTCTGCCTTTGCAAAGTAAGAATGTAAGGGAACCGGCTCATTCTGCTGCAGAACAAGATACACGTGCTTTCAGGGTACAGTAGGTTTGGTGTCACAAGCAATACCTGTAGCGGCCTCCCTGTGGCCAGCAGGGATAGAGCAAAGTTATGTGTGTTCAAACCAAACCAGCTGTAGTGGTGGTGCTGTTTAATACCGAGAGGTGCATACGCTCTTGGTTCAAACAAATCTTGGTTCTTTTCACTGACTGCCTACACATTCAGACTTCCTGGTTGTCCGTTGCTGGTGCTGCTCAGGGAGCTGCTGAGCAGGCTGACACGAGTAAGATCAGAGGACAGGCAGCACACATAGGAAATCTGCACGCTGTGAAGGGAAATCTTAAAAGCTACTGTGGGAGGGAAGTTTCAAATGCTGTACTGTCTTCTGCAGGTGGGATGTTAAAAATAATTCCTGGACTGTAACTCAGGAACTGAAGCATATAGTGGTAAACTTGGACTTCCAGAGAAACAACAAAACAGTGTTCAAGTCTACAAATTTTGCAGGATACATAGGCATGGTGTCTGGAGTCAAACCAGTAAGTATGGGGAGGAGGGCTCTTCAATTTGTTAATAATGCTTCAGACTTTCTTTTAAGATGTAAATTTTCCTGGTTTCATCCTCTGCCTTGTGGTGTTTGTTAATAAATGATCTCTGAATTGGTTTGGTGCACAGCATGGCTATTTGATAAAGGCAAAAGAAAACAATGCCGCACTATTCCTTGTAAAAGGAGATTGCATAAATGAAATATTTATGTTTGGACAATTCTTAAAAACAACGTTGAATTCTGAATACAAACAGGAGCGAACACAAAGAGCTCAAGTGGGTGGAGTTTCTTGCTAGCAGATATACTGCTGTGATCCCAGAGGTGAAACAGCATACTTCTGCTATTTCAATTCTTTCTCCAATCCTTCTAGGAAAAGGAGTGTCCTACATTGCGAGATATTTTTTTTTTTAAATAGGCACTTGAAATCTGGGTTTTGTCTACATCTTAAAAGCCAGCAGTACAGAACTATACCAGAGTCTCCAGCTTACCGCGACTCCTCCTTTTCTACCGGCTCTGCCTTTATCCTCTAATATAGGTGGCCCTTTTAATAGCAGAGCATTTCTGGCATAAATCCCTGCATTTTATCCATCTATTTTTGTCTTCTGATGAAATAAATTGGAGGGATTCCATTCTGAAAACGATCCAGTGTAGCTGAATTCCACTTTCCTTTAGAAGAAACACTAGTTGGAGAAGACTGGGATTTGAGTTTGAATTGAGTGTTGCAAGTGGCACGGATGGAACTGTGTACAGCTGCATGCCCATGTGAACAGCAACATTATTATCAGTGTGTACTTAGCACTGGGACTTAAAAATCTGCCTTCAAACTAGAATAGTATTCAGAGGTCTAAGCAGAAGGTTACATACAACAGGAGAAGGAAAATGGGAAATTCAGTGATGCAGTAAGGACTAAGAGAAAAATGGCCACAGGCTTGACTTGCTTAGCATAAAGGCATGGTTTGCTGGATTGCTGTGCCAGGTCAGAAAACTTTGAATTATCATTTCTACTTACTCGAGCAATGATAAATTAGGTTCTTCTCCACGTGGGCTTGATCTTGCAGCCCATGACTCAAAGGGGAAGAGTCAAATGAACAAGAAGCTCAGTTGGCATCTAAATTGCAAAGCTGCCTCTTGTTTATTACTGCCATTAATGGGCTGGTGATGGATGAAGGTTGACTTGTTTAATGCTTTTCAGGACTTGTTCACTCTGACAATGAATGAGCGTTTCAGTCTTGACGGTGGTTATGTTGGTGAGTAATACTTGTTTCTTTTGTTATTTCTGTACAAGTTTTCCAGACCTTGGGCATACCAGCTACCTTAATAAATGGGCACACAAATGGTGAAAGGGTTCCAGCTGAGTAAGATAAAACACAGTTCATTTCAAAGGCTGTGAAAGTTAGAATAGCATGAGTGAACTTTCTGAAAACAAAATAACCAGTGATATTTTGCAGGAATCTTCGAATGGTTTCTTGGTAGAAGAGATGGCATGTGGATGGGCTTTCTTACAAGAACAGTATTAGAGAATGCTACAAGGTATTCCCCCGTCCCCCTGCCAAATATTCTACTGCTTTAATCTGCTTTGCTTTCAACTGGCGTGAATACTGTAGATGTATGCTCAGTATCTAATGATACTGGTATCTTCCTAGAAGCTTAACATTAAATAGTTCTGGATTTGCTGGAGGGGAGGCATCACACACAATCCCTTAAAACTCCTCAAATTGTTTTTTCAGATTTTTTTTTTTCTAGTGAACCTGTTGGTTTCTGAATGCGTAGCAGCATTCTGTATCAAAACACATCCAACAGGTAGTAGTATATTACAGGAAGCAAACAGAACCAAAGCTCTCATGCAGTAAATGAATTAGGTGGGATATGACACAGCACGTCATCATTTTATTCCTGTTTTGAATATAGAAAAAGTGCAAAGAGCACCTCTTAACAACCATACTTCAAGTACAAAGTGAGTGGGGGAGTTTTGCTTAAATGCATTCCTTCACTGTGATACAATCTCCTCATACGTGCATGAGAGGGGAAGAAAGTGTAACTACCCAAACTTTCCCAGGGTCTGTGAAACTCATTCTTCAGTACTCAAACCATTTATAGCGTTTCATTGTCCAACACGACTTTGTTATCTGCAGCTACCAGGATGCAAAAGACAAACTGGCAAAAACAAGACTGCTGGCTCCAGCTTACTTTATACTGGGTGGAAAAAATTCCGGAGAAGGCTGTGTGATAACTCGTTCCAGGACAGCTACTCTGGATATCTGGGAGTGAGTATGCTTGACCTGACACCTGACTCAGCCTTCCAGAAGAAGACAGGTTCCACCAATAACTGTGTCCTGTGTTTCTTGTGAGTTCTGTTGTGCAAGAACTCACTTCTTTAGCATCATTGAAAAATACCACAGCAAGCCTAAAAAACAAAATCTGGCTGTGTGTAGTGCCTAGAGAAGCAAACCACAAACATTTACCTCTTTTCCAGCCTTGATATCAAGAAAGGCACATGGTACGTGTTAGAGACAAACTACGATCGGTGGAAGCCTCCACTAGTCTTGGATAATCGTAGAACGCCTGCAATGAAATGCCTGAACCAGACAACGCAACAGGTAAACGTCCTCCGAATACCTCATCTTGCTCTTTTGAAACTCCCAAGTTACAGTACTGGTCTGGCACCGCCAGGACTCTTCAGGGCGTTTGCAAGCACAGCGGCAACGACAGAAGTGGCTAATGGTTTTGTGACAATGGGTAATAAAGTACCAGGTGGCTCTTTACACAAACGGTTTTTAGTTTTAGGCTTTCTCTTCATCTAGGTGGGTTTCCTGCGGCTGCATATGCAGGGGGATAAACCTGGAGATACTTAGAGGGAGATTCTCATTATTTCCTGAGCTTATTTTATCACCAGTGAAATTCAAACATACACTGTCAGGCAGCAAATGCTGACACTCAAGTGCCCTATGCTGTACTGAGATCTGGTCTGCTCAACTTTTTGCAACTCATGTTCTTCTGATCTCAGGATGTACTCTTAAAGCTTTATCTTATTACCTAATTGAACAGTAAAAAGTTATGATTCTCAGCATTTACACTGACAGGTTAATGTCCATTAACATCAATGTATTACTGTCTTTCAGAACATCTCCTTACCAACAATTTATGATGTTCTCTCCACAAAGCCTGTCCTCAATAAGGTAATGCTTCCATTTTTTCATAAAGTTTAGTGGGGTGGGGATGGGGGGCAGGCCACTAATTACTACACATCTAAGGAGGACGTCACAGTGGTACATTCAGGGTTTTTTTTAGGTGAAAACATGCACATAAAACTCAAATTCCACTTTACTTTGTAAAAGCAAAACATAATTGCTGGAACAGCTGTTTTCCAAAGGCCTTACAGCTTTAAAGCTCCCAGTAGCCTGCGCCCTTTCCTCAAAGCTGGCTCTGGTTTAAGGCAGCATTTGCACTACAGACATCTTAGGGACCCTTCTAACGTGAACTAACCTGGGATGTGGACCCTTGTAAGTAGCATGAAACAAGTTAATAGACCTCATGGTTTGCACATACTACAGTCACATTCTTCTTGCAAGAGAAGATGTTTTAGTCTGAACTTGAGGTGCTTAAGCATTTGATGTTTAAAATAAAAACAAACTAAAAGGGGTGGCGAGAGGAGTTTTTGCATAAGAAATTTAGTTACTGTATTCAGTAGAGGCAGCATTCTTGGCTGAGGACACAAGCTACTCATACTTGCATGTTGTAGACTAAAGATAAATTCTTATTTTGGTTGAACTGTTCAGCTGGTATCACAGACAGTTTTTCACTTTTTTTTTTTTTTTTTTTTTACCTTTTTCCACCACCTTCTTCCTCCCACCTGCCTATTAGCTGACAGTGTGCACAACGCTGATGGAGGTGGCTAATGGTCATACAGAGACTTACCTGCGGGAATGCCCAGATCCCTGTAGTCCTTGGTAGTCCTGTACCTCTCCTATGTTGGAAGCTGCTTGTCTGAATTGGAGGTCCTCCAAGAAAAAATACTTCTGGAAAAAGATTCCTCAGCCTAACTCCTTTCTTCAGAAATCTAATGGCTATATAGAAACGTCAATGAGCTACTAACAATGGAGGACCCTATCGCACACTGGACTTTCTTGCTTTCTGATCAGCAGTTCTGCTGACGAGAAATGTATACTGATGTACGTCGGGTTTGATTTCAGCCATTTCTACCAAATGAGTTCAGCAGTTAGCTCTAGATCTCTTCAGTGTCGACAGTATTCTTGGTTTGGTTTGGGGGTTTGCTATTTTTTGTTGTTTGATTGGGGGGTTTGGGGGTTTTTTTTAATTAAAATACTTCTAAAGTGCACACAAGTTAAAATGGCACCTACCAAGCATGAGAAAGAATTGGGTATTAGGAGGCCGGCAGGGACAGTACAGTTTTGTTTTAGTTTCCTTACCACTTAAGATGAATTGCTAGTGTTCTGATCCACTATGATGCCACTATGATGTCTAAGATGCCCTGTTAGAAAATAACCTACCAAGTGTCAGATCTAGTCACAGAAATCAGGTCTTGTGGAAATGTCAGAAATGAGATTGGAGCCAAAAAATGTCTGCTCACTGATTTATAGATCTTTTGCTGAAGCTCTTTCCTGGCACGTTAACAAATTTTTTTTCATACAGATTTTTCTGTGGTCTCAAAAAAATAAATACTAATACAATAAATATTCCTAAGAACTACTTTCTTTGACCAAAGTACACCTGCACTGCTTTTACACCTCAGTGGAAGTCGCCATGCATGTTGCATACCACATGGAAGTGAATGCCCTTTCTGCCAAACAGACTGATTTTAACAGTGTCTGAAAACCCAATTCCTTTCCTAAACTGACCACTAAAGCTATTACCGAAACGGGAAGTAGCCAGCTACTAATAGCGCTTGGGTTGTGTGGGGGGATTTTGGCTGGGTGGTTGGTTTTTGGAAAGGTGGGGGAAGGAAGCCAAGTCAGACTACACCATTGGCCAGAATTCAAATTAAGAAAGTGAAGGTCCTTTAGCAAGAGAGAAGTACAGGCGCCCTAATATCCCAGGAAGCAGGAAAATGTAGAAGGAAGTGGTTTTATCTATGTCAGTGGCTACGTGGCTGGGACTGGTTTCCGGTGCCAACTCTTTGTGTTTTATAACACGCAAAGAGAAGACACTGGACAGTACGCTGGCAGGCTCGTCTGTGTGGCAGTGCACTTGGAATCTTTTCTTAACTACCCTAGGAAGGAGGTGCTATTCCTATTCCCATTGAGCCATGAATTTGAAATTGCCACCGGTGTACGCAAAGCGTTGGCTTCTCTTCGGTGTCTGCGGAGGCAGCATTGCATAAGGCATTCTAACGAAAACCTGCAAGTTCGTGACATCCAGGCACAATGGGATTCTTGATAGCCAGGACATACGGGACGGTATTAGTGCAGTGCAGAATGAGGGTACAACAGTTTTCTGTTCCAAACAGTAAGGGCTACTAATAAGTACTAATAAGAAAAATACTTCTTTTTTAATAATTGCAAATTTAACACTAAGGAGTCTACAGAAGGGGCAACAAGTTGTTGCCCGTAAAGCTGAGATGCAAAGTCAACTTTCATCCAAGTACGACTGGCTAAGTTTTTTTTAGTATTGCCTCCTTTTCTAAAAGAAATATTAAAAGATTACTTCTAATCATCCCTTGTTTCAGTATCTAGGTTACCAGCTTACAGCAAACTGTAACAGCTCTCCCTCCATCAACACTGAAAGAAGCAGGGACAAAAGGGATGCTATTTGCCAAATAATTTTAGCAGCTGATAGAGAAACATGGCTTCTGGTTGAAAAAAAAAATGTATTCTAGGCCTTAGAACAATGCCTGTAGTAGCACAGCAAGAAACAATTCGGAGGGGTGTAAAGCACCAATGCACTGAGAGCAGGCAGAAATCAGCATCCCACTGTTTAAACTGAAGTTAAAAAAAGGACTAGTCTAGTTGTACAGCTAATTTTTTTTTAACTGAGGTACACACGCAGAAGCATGTTAGCATGACTGTAGTACCAGCGTCCATCTTTAACCTGTCATGAATATCGAACCTATGTAAACCAAAATCAACATAGGAGCATGGTTTAGATAAGGGAAGAATGCACGTATAGTGTGAAATGCAGCTTCTGGGACATTTGATTCCTGTAAAGCGGTTAAACCAAGTTGAATGTTACAATCTGTGCCATGAAGGGCACATCATATCCTGCTGAGTTTGCACCTTAATCTGGTAGGGGGGTGTTCCAGGTGTATTTGGAATGAGTTGCATAACAGCCATAATCAAATTCCTTTGTCATTTAAAAATAAGTAGTAAGTTTACTTGCTTAGTTAATCCTGTCCCACTTCAGCAGATGTGGAGCAAGGCAGTGTAGACTATTTACAGTAGACTATTTACAGTCATTAACTAATGAGCTTTTGGTATGTCCCTTGTGCAAGACAATCCACATTTCCACACTGGAAATTGCCTTACAATTGCAAAAGCACAGCTAAATCCCATGGATGTCTGTCCCGAGCCTGAATGCCTGTGCCTGCTATTGACTAAAATAAAGCTATTTAAAAACCAAAACCCCAACAGCTGCCTTACTGTGTCTGCCTTCATACAGAAAAAGCCGTGAATGTGATTAATTGCTTATTGATTTAACCTTCATCTGTCCACTCTGAAGGCACATGTTCCGAAGGTTTTCTCAAGCCCAACAAAAAGTTTAATTTGCTCTTGTTACAGATAGAGACGTCTATTCTTAACATCAGTTGACTGCCTCCCCCCCCTGCTTCTGCTGCCCCCGGCATTGTAATGGAAGCTCAGGCCATTTCACTGATGAAATGTATACAACTACTTGCCACTTGGGGATTTAATTTAGATTTTTATTTTTTTTTTTAAACGGAAAGACACAAAGAACGAAAATGGGTATGTTTCTTCATATTCATTTGCTGTACACACAGCTGAGGTACCTCACAAACACTGAGAGGGTGTCTGGTTTTTGGGGGTTTTTTTAGATTTTTTTCCCCTCCAGGCCAAGCGTGCAACCCCATATGTTTTTTTCTTTTAAGATTAAATTAAGAGATTTTCACAGCTTTCCTAGTTCTGTTGTGAAAAATCATCAGCTCGTTGGAAAAAAAAAAAGAAGTAAGCAACAAGACAACCATACCATTTTATCATGAGTGCATAGTCTAGTCCTATGAAGAACAGCCTCGGTGTTTTAGCTACCAGCAGTTTTTTAGCACTAAGGATAGTATCAGAGAACCGTTTAGGTTGGAAAGGACCATCAGGTCCAACCGTTACCCTAACCCTGCCATCCCACCACTAAAGCGTATCCCTAAACGGAGTTATATGAAGAGTTAATCCAGTTTATTCTGAACGTGGTTAAATAAGACATTACAGGAAAGAGCACTTGTGTGGGCGCTGGCGTTTAAATGCAAAAACCCATCAGTTTGCCAAGGAAATTTTACACACCTACAACTTAAGAAACCCACGCAGTGAAGCCCCGTACCATTGCAGAGGAAGGAAGAACAGCATGTCCCATGCCAAAAAGCAAAATGTCGACAGCTAGTAGTGAGGACAGTAGAGTCCGGGAAAGGAATTTGATTCTATCAAAATGAAGCAGTAGCTTTGGGACACATGTCCAAGTGAGTTTGCATTAGGGTGAGTTACAAATGAAGGCTTTGCTTAGAAGCAAAACTCCGGAGCAGGACGCACAGATGTCCTGGGAAGTATCTGCAAGGAAAGCAGCAAGAGTAAACAGAAGACTTGAGCTGGTGCGGGCAGACACGATGGACTGTGGAGTGACAGGGAGCACTCGCGAGCTTTAGACAGGCACCACAACTAACACCAAAATACTCCTCCCTCCCAGCACAAACACCTCTCCTGCCTTCACATTGCCAGCTCTTTGGGCTGCAGGTGGAAGGGGAAAAAGAAACAAGAACAAAAAGCTCAACAGCTTGGATTTCACCTCAGTGGCAACAGCAGGCAGTTGACCTGCTTATGGCATGGATCATCAGGTGGACTCTCTTCTGCTTTTGGAGGACCAGAAGTGTTGGTGAGAAAGGCACACCCAGGCGCTCCGAGCAGCAAAACCTCTCATCCTTTGTACCGGAAGAACAAGATGAGCCATAACGAATAGGCCTCATCAAAGCGGTGGCAGAAACCACAATTTGCCTTGGGGAGAAATCTCCAGATATTCATGCATTTTATAAGCAGCAGCTGCTTTTGACTGTTAGAAGAGTCAGGAAACACAAGATACCAATTGGCCAAATACTGCGATCAAGAAGCAACCAGACCGTGCAGTTGTTCCCTACCAGTTTTTCAGAGCATCATCACTTTGTGGTATCAAAGATTTTAAAGGCCTTTTGTAGTTCAGTCTGCTCCCACACTCGGTTACTTAGAAGAGAGGACAATAATTATAAAGGATTTAGTCTGTTTATGTACCGAGAGGCCCTGTATTCGGGACACTTTCTGATCTGCAGTGAATCAGCTCTGAATTATATTAATTGTATATGGGACAACCTCTCTCTGTCTAATTTGTTTTGCAAAGGTTGTTCTCCTAGCTCAAGGGTTACGCATGAGCAATAGAAGAATCGCAGCAGTGAGGCTGCCCTGTTGGATATTCTGTATTTAAGGTAAGTCCAGTCATAAGGCTGGCTTAAGGTTTTCCACTATTAGTCTTGTCTTTCTTTTAATTTTGCTAAGCTTTCTCTGTTAGGTAGATACCCAATGTAGAAAAAAACCAAAAAATCACCCCTAGACTTTTCCCTCTTTACGTTTCAATGAAAGTGATTCATCTCTGAGAAAGAGAAACAAAAGAAAGATATTTTTTTTTTTGTATGTAGTAAAAAAAAATAGATAACGAACACTGAGTTGTAGCAAAGTGCTGAAGTGCCATCTTGTTTTTAAAGCGGAACTTTAATTCAGGTATCTGGAGGTGTTTGGATTAGACGTAGCCTTTTCTCGGGCTACACCCACCACCTGAATTAGACCAGCATTTAAACCTTTGAGTAGTTACATATAATTTGCATCAGCTTAGTTCCCAAAATGCTACATCTGCATTCCTG